GAACATGGGTAAGAAGAGAAATGGAGGGATGAGAGGAAGGGTAAGAGTTAAAGCAAGTAAGCCTCCTCAGAATGGGAGGCAGAGTAGTAGTAGCAGAACCGGGGACCCCAGGGTAGGGCATCGTGTCTAACAGGAGTGGGATGAAACTTGGCGCCGTCTGTGAGCCCCCCACCCCCATAAAGCTGGGGGCATCCTGCCTAACACGAGTGGGATGAAGCTTGGTGCAATACGGGACACAGAGGCCTTGTGGACCAGAAGCATCTGTTACCGAGAAAGTGCTGCCAGGGGAAACGTACTACAGCAGCGAGGCAGCGAGGGACGAGGCAAGGGCAGCTTCCCGTGTCTGGCCACTTGGATAACAGTCCTTCACAGCCACGGTCATTTGCTTCCGTTGAGCCACCGTAAGGAACATCCACAGGTACGATAGCCAAAACATTCCTGAGTGAGTCATCAGGCATAGGCAGCGCAAGGATGCCTGTGATGAGGGCTTTGACGAGGTGACACAAAAAAGTGCTTGGGACATCAAAAATAATGTGCCTGAGCTAGTCTTACTATTAAGACAATGTCCCTAGTATTGTCTCCATTGCCATCAATAGCGACTAGTTCCACAGGCTCCTCCTCCTCCTCCAGCACCACTACCTCAGCAGGGAGAGCATCTCATCAGTGGATCCAACGCCATTCAGTGGGGCTCCTGGCATCTAGTGTGCCTCGGGGAAGAGACTGAGTGACTGATAACACACACACACACACACACACACACACACACACACACACACACATTTTAAGGAATGACCAAAGCTCTGGATGAATTTCCATCACATTGAGATCACATGTTGAAAGTTGAGGTGTCCGATGGGTCACAAAGACTAAGACCACAGCCAAAGTTCCCTCTCTATAGTCCCCACAGTCTGATGCTGTGATACACAGCAGGGCTGGTTAAATACGGGGTCAACATCTGAGTGAAGATGAGACAAATAGTGTCAATCAGTAGGAGCTCCATGTTGGGTAAACATCAAAGCAGGGTCATAACCAGATAAGGACAATATCTCGTAATGATTCTACTTGGTCCTCTTGCTTCAAGACATGAGTTTGCAGAGGGGCAACTCTGTGTCCACCACTGTCTAAGGGCCCTCACCCTGCAGCCTGCTATGGTTATCTGCCAGCTAACCAGGATAGTTAGATACATTGTATCTACTCAGTGTGTCAGTTTGGCTGGGCCTGAGGACACACAGTTGGATACATTGTATCTATCCAATGGGTCAATTTGGCTGGGCCAGGGAGATACTAGGACAATCTGTTAAGTGAAAAGGGAAAGCCTTCCCGCCAGCCTGGTTCCAGAGCCGCATCAGTCCCAAACAAACACACAGGAGGCTATATTAATTATGAAGCTGTTGGCCTTGCTTGTTTCTTACTGGCTAGCTCCGACTTAAGTATTTATCCCATAATTGTAAATCTAAGTATTTCTCTTACCGGAGAAGTTTCCGGGTTTCCTACCCCATGGCAGTTACATCTTGACTTCCTGTGTTTCTCCTACCCAGAGTCCTCCTTGACTCCTAGTCCCACCTATCTTGCTTCCCTATTGGCCAACAGCGCTTTATTGACATATACACAGGACTTCCCCCATCAGTTAAGGGCATTTCTAACCCGGTTGTTGGTGGTGTTTCCAGACAAGCAGGGAAGAAGAGGAGAGCAGTGGGTGGCTTGCACCAGTGTGGGTGGACATCATCCCGCCCACTGAGGATCAGAACTCAATGGCAACTAGAAAGACGAATAAGCAGGCAGGTAGAGTGAGTTGAATCCTATTTTTGCCTGTGTGCTGGAACTGAGACAATGTATAACTCCATCCCTCTATGCATGTCACCACCTTCCCTAGTCTCCAGATATACACTGTAGACCATAGAAACTTCACAACCTCCATGACGTAAATCAATGCTTAAAGAAAAACAAATCCTTCTCCATATAGACACAGATAAAGAGATACAGATTCATCTTCACCATCCTCTCCATATAGACACAGATACAGAGATAAAAATTCATCTTCACCATCCTTTCCACATAGACACAGATACAGAGATACAGATTTATCTTCACCATCTGCTGGTTCTATTTCTCCGGAGAATCCCGACTAATACACCTGGCATATTTCAATGATAGCTATAACAGCTCATGCACTGTTAGCATCTCAACCTGTCACAAGGAGGGTGAGCAGGATAAGGAGCGAAATGGAACATCCTGTCATCATCACAAAAGGTACTAATGGACAGTATAAGAGCTGAGGCTCTGCTCTCAAGGGAAGTCACACAAGTCCCACGCCCAGCTCTCTATATGATCTGATCACTTCCCACAAAAGCACCGTAGAGAGAGAAAGCTATTTATCTCCAGAAGAAACTGAACTGGGGGATCGGGGGAAGAAGAGGGGGGAGGAGAAGTGAGGGGATAGGAAGCTGAAGGAGAAGGCAGGGGACAGGTAGAGCACCAGACAGGTCCCAGCAGGTTTGAGGGCTAGATTCAGAAACCCTGTGATCTCCTGCGAAAGCTACCACTGGTAGCTTTCATGCATCGCAATCTCCCCCAGACTCCAGCCTCTTCTTTCGGAAAATGCCAGCCAAGCTCTTGGGAATTCCCTGGGTACAGGAACAGCAGCTCTTCCTCCAGCACTGCAGGCAGCCTCACAGTGGCATCTCGGTAAACACAGAGCAATAAAAAGCAAAGGCTTGTGCAGTAAAAGAAAGCAGACGGGAAGGAAAAAAAACTTTATGAACTGTGAAGTCCTAAGCAGATGCCGAGGCTTGCTTTGCCTCTGGAAGCAGGCAGGGTAGCCCTTGTTTGGAAAGGGGAGACTTTGGTATAATCTTCACTTTGAAGGCCCAAGTCAGCATTCTGAATATCAGTCAACCAAAGAGTCCTGGAGCATGTCCTTGTCCTTTGCCTGTGCTGATGCCAAAGGGTCAGGTTAGTGAGAGAAGACCTAGAGCCTTCCGCAACATGTGTATTAACCTGGGAGAAGAGCAGATGGCCAAGAAAAACGAGCCCTGCTTCTACAAGGCAAATCTCCTTGCCTGTATACTAATGGGTCCTGCAAATGCCACAGTCTTTAACTTCGGTAATAATTCCTGTTTTAGTTATAGCCGGGGGATGCATGTTCCTCTGTGTGCCCAGCTGACACTCACAAATGCTCTTGTCTTTAGGGGCAGGACCAGCTGGTGCCCCCACCTCTACAGAATCTACAGTGATGGCCATCAATGAGGAAAGCATGTGACCAGGCATAATCAGAGACGAACGTCATCAGAAGAGATAAAGTTAGGCCCGGTTTGTTTTTTCCCCGTCTCTTTATTTGCCCTCATGATTTGATATTCATTGAACTCTGCCGTTAGTACTAAAAATACACTCCAGGTCAAATGCAATGCACCAAAACCTCAGTATGAAACCACAAGAAATAGCAATAGACAAATGGCCCGGTACTGGGGATGGCTTGAATAGACGTTGCTGTCAAGGGTAGAGCGCACGAGGGCCAGGAGTTCTTTTCACTGCTGTGAACATTGAATAAAGGAAACAACCCTTCCACGTGTACCATGTGGCTAACGAGGAGTGTTGGCTCACGTCTCTAGACAGGAAGGCAGAAGCCCACAGCTGTCCTATCACCGTAGCCAAAGGGAAGTCAGTGAAGGCATAGTAGGCAAGGAACTAGGAATAGTAGACAAGGAGAGAGACGCCAGGGGTGAGTGGTGGGAGACAAAAATGGCCAACAAGTATGTCATCTGTGTCTTTTGTCTATTCTTCATACAGCGCCTTAGCTCTGACAGTTTATTACTAACAAGGGATTCATTTCAGCTCATGGTTTGAGATGATAGACAGTGTAAGGCCAGATAACTACATCTAGTTAGCATCTAGAGAGTATGTGAGGGTTGGAAGGGGAACTGGTTGGTTTTGTGTCTACTTGACACAAGCTACAGTCATCAGAGGAAGGAGCCTCAGCTGAGGAAATGCCTCCATGAGATCCAGCTGTAAGGCATTCTCTCATTTAATTATCAATGGGGGAGAACGCAGCCCATGGTGGGTGCTGCCATTCCTGGGCTGCTGGTCCTGGGTTCTATAAGAACGCGACTGAGCAAGCCATGGGGAGTAAGCCAGTAAGATACTCCCCTCCATGGCCTCTGCCTCGGCTCCTTTGTCCAGGTTCTGGCCCTGTTTGAGTTCCTGTCCTGAGTTCCTTCAGTGATGAACAGCAATGCTGAAGTGTAAGCCTAATCAAATCTTTCCTCCCCAACTTGCTTTTTGGTTGTGGTGGTTTGTTGCTGTGATAGAGACCCTAACCCAGACTGAAGGGAAGCAAGTGCATCTGTAAGATGCACTTGTCAGTCATTAATTGTAAGTCATTAATTAAGAAAAACCCCTCTTCTGTTTCTGAGGCATTTCCTCTGCAATATCAGATGGCTCCCTAAGCTTGATTCCCTATTCTCTTTCATCCGATGCCCATAGCACCGGAGTAGGAAGAAACTCGTGAGATGCATAGTTCTACCAGATAACACTCAACGGAGCACAGACAAATAGGACGGGGAAACCTATGTGTGCAGAAAGTCTTGGACTTCACGTCTTACCCTCACCAGGATAGACACAGACTTAGTGAGACTCTGACACATGGCAGAGGTAGAGGAATAAAACACGGGTTGTGCTAGGCAAAAAGAAAGATCTCAGGTATGTTCTGATCTCATTACAGGACCGTTTCCCAGTGGTCACCCATGGCAAATCAACACAACGGATTCTCCCATGAGGCAGTGCTTTCCCCAGGTAGGAGCAGGGGGCGTGTGCTAAGCACTATGGTCAAGCAAATGGAAGAAAGGCTGAGAAAGAGAGCCAGGATATAGGCGAATGGGAAGTCAGCTTCCCGAGCACTCTGAATTGCCACAGGAAGACCTGTAAAGAACATTAAAACATGCCCAAGTGCTGCCACAGAGACTATGCATCTCAAAGTTCACTTTTGTTTGACAAGACTTGCTTACCGCAATTTTCCAAATCCCCAAAGCCTGCAGCTTCATTTTAGGAAGGGATGACTCTCAAATCCTTCTGGAATGCTTACTGGGTATGCTAGACTATGAAAGAAAAGGAAAGGGATATATCAGTACCAATGCTGGACAGATTTGGGAAGGAGATGTTTCATTCATTTAAAAAGTTAAAAAGCTAAGAGCTGGCACAATGGCTCGGTGGTAAAGACACTTGTCACCAAGCCAGACAGCTTGAGTTGAGTCAGATAACTAGCATGGTAGAATGAGACAGCTAACTCTACTGGGGTTATCCTCTGACTTCCATGCAAATGACCGAATACAGCAGAATAGCGGCAGGTTGATTAAGTAAATAAATAAAAAAAATTTTTAAAGAAAGGAAAGGAAAAGCTAGGCCGACTATGACAGAAAAAGCCTATACTCCTATTCTTGGGGGACAAAGTTAGAAGGACTTCTTTGAATTTGAAACTAGCCTTGGTCATATATTGTATCCAGCCAGTGACACACAGCAAGCTTCAGTCTGAAAAAAATAACCAAGTGAGAAGCAGAGGGGGGATAAAAAGCATTTATTGACCAATTCTTTTTTCTTTACTTTTTCATTTTTATTTGAGCAGATGCAAATACAGGTGTAGGCAGGCATATGTGGAAATCAGAAGACAACATACAGGACTCAGTCCTCTCCTTCCACGGAATAGGGGCCCTGGGTCTCAAGTACCTTTACCCACTGAGCCATTTTGTAGACCACCCCCCCTTTTAAAAAATGTAATTATCAGTGAGCAATTCTCAAGTGTCAAGCCTATGTTAGGCATTTTCCCCCCTGTTTTGATCTATTTATGCTCCCAAGTGTCAAGCCTATGTTAGGCATTTTCCCCCCTGTTTTGATCTATTTATGCTCCCAAGTGTCAAGCCTATGTTAGGCATTTTCCCCCCTGTTTTGATCTATTTATGCTCCTAAGTCACATAGGCAACAAGGCCATGGCTGATGGTTGTGTTTTTTTTTTTGTTTTTTTTTGTTTTTTGTTTTTTTTTTTTTTTCGAGACAGGGTTTCTCTGTGGCTTTGGAGGCTGTCCTGGAACTCGCTTGGTAGTCCAGGCTGGTCTCGAACTCACAGAGATCCGCCTGCCTCTGCCTCCCGAGTGCTGGGATTAAAGGCGTGCGCCACCAACGCCTGGCCTGATGGTTGGTCTTAATGATTGCCATGCCACCACCCATCAATCATGTTCCCCTCCCTACTGGAATTTTCATTCATCTGACTCCAAGAACTCTCGGCACTGAGGAATAAGAAACCTCTCTTCAGTCTGATAACAGCACTGTGCCCAGCGCCTAGCCCATTACGTATGAGTGGTGAGAGCCATGGAAGATGTATCAGATGAACTCACTCACTCTGTTAGCAAAGCACTCATTTCTAGCATCAGGAGATTTGTAGGCCGGCATCATGGGATTTGTAGATTAGCATCATGGGATTTGTAGGCATAGTGAATTATGTAGGCGATGACAACAAAAACTAGCTCTACTGCTGTGGGATAATCCTTCTGTACACTGTAAGTATGCATTGCTCTAGTTGTTAATAAGAAGCTGATTAGATTGATTGATAGCTGAGCAGGAAGAGATTGGGCGAGACACCTCATACAGACAGAATGCTGAAGGGGGACGGAGTCAGAGAAGTCACCAACAGATGCAGGGAGAGGCCAGATGAACATGTAGTTCCAAGCCACATGGGAGAACACAGATAAGAAATATGGGTTAATTTAACTATAAGAGTTAGCTAGTAACAAACCAGAGCTATTGGCCAAGCATTCATAAGTAATATTAAGTCTCAGTGTTGGTTATTTGGGAAATGGCTATGGGACTAGAAAACTCTGGCTACACTCTACACAGACTTATCCTCAATGATCACTGAAACAGCTACAGAAGGAGGCTAGAAGAAACAGTGTGGTGTGAACAATGAACCAGGCTTGGAGGTGCTAGGCCCTATGGGTCAAGGGAGAACTTTATTAGTTACCTACAAAGCCCCAAGTAGGCCCTGGTGTCTAGCCTGGTGACCTCAGACTTGTCTTCTCCTGCCCTTGCAGGGATAGTGACACTGCAGTGTGGTACCCAGAGAAAGTCGCATTGCACAATTCCATGTGCTATGGGGGACCCCTTCCCTGTAGAATGAACTCCGCCCTCCTTACAAACCACTCGGGACCTTGGCAGTCCGGACTCTAATAAACTAGGACTCACTTGACACTGACTCAGCATAAAAGATGCTGGCAAGTTCCGTGGGGAATGTGACCTTACACTAGGAGCAACTGGACAACTGTCCTTGCCACAGAGCTGGGAGCAGAGGCCACCGTGTGGAGCTTGTATTCCTCCTGATGCATTCCCCCTATCTCTTCCAGAGATACCTTATCCCTAATTTGCTCATCTGAGGTCCCCTGAGTGTCTGTCACGTTCCTCCCTTGAATGTGTTAGTACCACAGCCCCGCAAGGCTGAGTGAGTTCCCACCGCCACAGCAGAGCTGGTTTAGTTCAACCAGGGCTCAGAGTTCAGTTCCTGGCAGATGGGGGTGAATTCCCTTCCGCAGAAAGTCCTGATTGACTAGTGGTGGCCTCAGAACGATGCCCTCTTGTCCTCAGCACCTCTGCACTCGGCCGGCAGCCACCCACGCATCTCTGGCATCGATACCAGAAAAGTACTCTTAGGCTAGCCACACTACAGTCACTTTGTGACCCTAAAAGGGCAGGAGCATCGCTTCCTGGATGTTGGTGGGCTCTTATCAGACCATGCTGGAGACAACCCACCACTACCCCTTTAAGGCACGTCCTCCTTGGGAGCCTCATCGAGAACCTGAGCTCTCTGAGTCCTGCTGTCTCATTTCCAAGGAGTGTTCTCCATGTAAAATGAAGAGTTTGGGCAGAGTTCAAAGCACTTAGACATGCCAGGTATAATTGATGCTTCCTAAGCACATATTGGAGGCTTGATTAATTAGTCGACCCTAACAGGATGAAAACACCAAAGTTCTTCTTCTTATAGCACCACAGTTAGCTAGGGAGAAGGATCAGTGTGTGGCTTAAGGCCTGGTTTGCTCTTCCGTGGGATGGGGTAGGTGACAGCAATATGCAATGACAAGACCACACGAGGCACCGTTTGAAGGAGGCCACCAACATCAGATAGGTATGGCTGAGTTGCTGGTTTCTAGGTTGGCTCTCTGTTTCTTGGTAATAGGAGAGGGACAAGGACACACACACACACACAAATATAGCATACTAGTGTCTGCTGGGAAAAAAAACAAAAAACAAAATGAAGACCTCTTCCCAAGGCTGTCAAACTGATGAGTGTTTTCAATCAATGCTTGTAACCATGAACAAGGACCAATGGTCTATAAAAATTAAGGAACTAAAGTTTCTAAGTTTCTCCCAGGACCTTCAGGCAGAGTGTGGGGGAAAGTATGGAGTCCTGGGGGACTCAGAGCCTCAGGATACAGAGTAGGAAAGTCTCAATCTCCCCTTAACATACAGAACTTATAGAGTCACTTACCCCTACACCCCTATGGAGATGAGTTAGGAATAGCATGCACACAGGGTGACAGACTCCTTTGTCCACTTTGAGGGGACCTGCTCGGAAATCCTGCAGACAGCCCAACCAAAGAGAGGGATGGGGAGAGAGCCAGCATGTAGCAGGCACCGCTGCTCACTCTTGTGTCATATCTCTACCAACACTGTCCCCAAGAATAGGACATGAGCTTGCTCCCTGCCGTCTGACACGCCAAACAAGCCATGGGTTCACTAAAGTCCTTTTAGCATCACAGAAGATCAACTGCTGGGACCCAAAGTCTGTGTCCTACTTTCTGTGGCTAGGCACAAAGAAGGCTCAGTATCTGTGACAGACAGATCCCGGCCACCCAAGACCCTCAAGAGTTAAGAGGCAGAGGGGCAATTTGGTGACCACTCTTTTAGCCCTTCTTTTCTGGGATCTGCAGCAGAATTCAAAGTATGTGCTGGGTCCCTCATCTTCTACTCCTCATCACAAGCCCAAAGGCAGGGCCATGTCGTCTTTGCAGCAGAAGGGGAGGCACACATACTGGCTGAGTAACTTGAACACAGGTAGGCAGAACCTGGGTAAGGTAGCGGTCCACGGTTAAGGATGGAGACATGGACACATTCCATCACATCAGAGATGCACCAGGTCTCCCCCTCAGTAGTTGTGCTTATCATCTGGGGCAGCTGGCTGCTTGCTCAGCTTGTAGGGCCAACTGGCTGCACAGATGGTTGCCGTGGTAGCAATCTTATACACTTGGCAGGAAATAAGTGAGTCCGTTAGAAAATAGGTGACCACGGGTGGATTTCTGACCAGGAATCCATCCAAACACCACCGACCACTGCAAACAGATCAGCGGGGTAGACTGGGACACCTGTAGCAGCTGGGGAGAGCTAATAACTGGCTACTCCCCAGACAAGTTCCTGGGCACAGGCGTAATATTGGAAAGTATTTGCTCTCCCCAGAGAAAGTCCTGGAAAAGGTCGAATGCTGATAGTGACGGATGGTTCCAGGAGGGTTAGCCAATGCTGGCTCCCATCCTTGCTGAATTCTGTGAAGTCCAGCAGAGCTGAACATGAAAGCAACAGGTACAATCACAGGGCATCGGCCGCCAGGGTGGACATCAGAGCTTGGATTCTTACTGAAAACAACAAATGGATGGAGATGTTTGCTTTGTTTTAGATACATAAGACACAAAGAAATGAATGCATTATTGTGTGAACCTGCATTGAGCATGAATCAGTTATCAATCCCATGAAGCACTGGGCTTCTTCCGTGGACCACAGCTGCCACTCTTCCTGTTTTCAGGAGCTAGATGGTCTGAAGTTTACAGAGTTGTCCAATCTTTTGATATTGCAAGGTGATGTTGTCATCGACAAAAGTGATGGACTGCACTAACAGCTATCCTGAGACTCAAATGGCCTGCCGGCCACAAGTGGGCACACCTGGTTCCTAATGACTAAACTAGTATCCTGGATGGATAATACCACAGTTGATACTTTGATCACTGAGAGGTAAGTTCATATGTCCCTGATACCCCAGCATGGCTGAAGAAAAAAACATCCAGGA